AGCACCACATAAGCAAAAAGAAAAAAGCCGGAAGTGGCGCTGTGGCTCAAGTGGTAGTGTACTAGCCTTGAGCTAAAGAGCTGAGGGTCAGCGCCCAGGCCCCACAATCGGACCCAAAAATAAAAAATAAAAAAAAAAACAAGAAATATGAACCAAAGCCGGACACTGGTGGGATCTGGGGATTGTGATTTGAAGCCAGCTTGGGCAGAAAAGTCCTGCAGAGACTCTTGTCCAATTAACTATTCAAAAACTGGAAGTGGCGCTGTGGCTCAAATGGTAGAGTGCTAGCCTTGAGCCAAAGAAGCTCAGGGACAGTGCCAGGCCCTGAGTTCAAACCCCAGGACTGACAAAAAAAGAAAAAATACTTTAAACTTGGAGGATTCATTAGGACACTTGAGTTTATTAGGAAAACAGGCCAAAATACAACTCATAGAAATACAGCCTTGTCTAGGTAAGACCATGAAGCAAGCTCCTTTTTGAGAAAGGAGGAATAGTTCTCAGCAAAAGGAAGAATCACCATCCTTCTTCACTCCCCAGGAACATTCTAGAGAAGAGGTAGACCTCGAGAGGCTAAAGAGTAGGCAGTGATGAGCTAGACCCTCTGGTAGATTAGTAGCGCCCAGCATGGATGGCACCATGATCTTGGCTTTTTCTAGTCTTGGAAGAATGGTTTGGACTTGGAAGGGCTGTGTGAAAAGGCTTTTTAGAGCGTGACAAGTCTCAGGCTGGTCCTAGGAATCCTGCATCAGTGGTACAGGGCCTAACTCCCTCTGCACTAGAGCGCAGCCGCGGCTCCTCCTCCTCATACCAACGTGCTTCGCTGAACTCCGGGAAGAAGGCCGCGATCTCTCTGCTGGCTGAAAGTGCAGAGTCTGGGTATGGGGAGGTAAGACAGAGAAAGAGATTGGAAGGCTCAGGTAGGAAGATCCTATGTTTGAGGCTAGCCTGGCCAATACGGCTAGAGACTGTCTCAGATAAATAGATACATACATAGAGACAAATTAAAAATAAACCCGGGTGCTGGTGTCATGCTAACCACTCAGGAGGCTGAGATCGGAGGATCCCAGCTCGAAGCCAGCCTAGGAAGGAAAGGCTATGAAACTCTTATCTCCAGTGACCCACCAGAAAACTAGAAAGGGAGTAGTGGCTCAAAGTGGTAGAGTGGTAGCTTTGAGCAAAAGAACTCAAGAGACAAAGGCCAGGCCCTGAGTTCAAGCCCCACAACTGACAAAAAAAATAAAAATAGCAAATAAATAATGAGCTTTCTCTGGTTATATGGGTTATCAGATTTGGAAACCTGAGCCTCACTGGGTATAGAAACTCATGCTTGTAATCCCAGCAATTCAGGAGGTAGAGATTAGTGACGAGAGGACAGTCTAGACAAAAAGATATCACCTAGTAGGGCACCTCACGCCTGTCATCCTAGCTACTCAGGAGGCTGAGATCTGAGGATCACAGTTCAAAGCCAGCCCCAGGCAGGAAAGTCCGTGAGACTCTGATCTCCAATGAACCACCAGAAAACCGGAAGTGGTGCTGTGGCTCAAGCAGTAGAGCACTGACCTTGAGCTGAAGAACTCAGGAACAGTGCCCAGAGCCAGAGTTCAAGCCCCATGACTGACAAAAAAAAAAGATTTAAAGTTGATCCTGGGCATAAATGTGAGAACTTATCTGAAAAATAACCTAAAGCAAAAAGTGCTAGGGGGTGTGGTGGTTTGAGAAAGTGCTTAGAAAGTACAAGAAGAAGAAAGGGAATACGAGAAGAGAAGGAAGAAGAAAGGAAAGGAGAAGGAAAAGAAGGGACCCCTAGGCCCCATCAGTTGAGATGGCTACCAAGTACCATTATCATACATAGGAAGAAAGCTCATTGGAGGACTCTAGCTGTCAATCTTGCTATAGAGCCCACCCATCCACCTTAAGACATCCATCCTTATCCTTGGCTGTGGTCAAATTGAGGTGGACTCACCGGAGCCGTGGGTGGTGTTGCGGGTATCGGTGAGGCCAAAACTCCCACGGATAGAATCTGGGGCTGTATAGCGTGCTCGAAACACTCTGGTGGGTCCCATCAGTGTCCTCCAGAGCTGGATGGCATCTTTGTGGGCGAGGATGTAGGCTCGGATTGGCCCACTGTGAATAAAACTACACATGAGGAATGTGGCCACCCAGTCATGGGTCCCAAGCTGTGGGCACTAGGCATCTAAGAGAGATTTGTTTTTTGTTTCCTTTCCGGAGGATACAGTACTGCTTCAAAACAAAAGTGATAGATGGGAGGGTCTGAGAGGGTGGCTTGGTGGTAGAGTGCTTGCTGAGCATGCATGAGGCCCTGAGTTCGATTCCTTAGTACCACATACACAGAAAAAGCCAGAAGTGGAGCTGTGGCTCAAGTGGTAGAGCACTAGCCTTGAGCAAAAGAAGCTGAGGGACAGAGCCTAGACCCGAGATTCAAGCTCCAGGACTGTCAAAAGATTTTTTTTATTTAAATTAATTAATTAACTTATGGAGCCAAGGTGATCATCCACTTTGAAATGGATAAAGATGCTGGGACCAAAATTACCAGTACCTGGCCATGAACTCTACCAGCCGCTGATAGAAAAACCGCCCTGCAAAGAGAGAATATATTTATCAAGATACTGCTGGGGAGGAATGGGAG